ATTAAGCAATTTGTTCAAATGCAGTGAAATATAGATAGGTCATTTTTTTTAAAAATATTTTTTTGTAATGTTTATTTATTTGTTTTTTGAGGGGAGTAGCGGAGAGAGAGGGAGACACAAAATCCAAAGCAGGCTCCAGGCTCTGAGCTTTCAGCACAGAGCTTGACATGCGACTCAAACCCACAGACCATGAGATCATGACCTGAGCTGAGTTTGGATGCTTAACCGACTGAGCCACCCAGGTGCCCAAACAGGCCATATATATATATTTTTTAATATAAGGAAATTTACACAAATGTAAATTGGTTTCCACACAACACCCAGTGCTCATCCCAAAAGGTGCCCTCCTCAGTACCCATCACCCACCCACCTCTCCCTCCCACCCCCCATCAACCCTTAGTTTGTTCTCAGGTTTTTTTTGTTTTTTTTGTTTTTTTAATTTTTTAATGTCTATTTACCTTTTTGAGACAGAGAGAGAGACAGAGAACTAATGGGAGACTGTCAGAGAGAGAGAGGGAGCCAGAGTCTCAAACAGGCTCCAGGTTTGAGTTGTCAGCACGGAGCTCGACACGGGGCTTGAACTCACGGACCGCGAAAGGAGATCATGACCTGAGCCAAGTCGACGCTTTCAAATCCCATCGAGCCAAATCTTTTGTGTTTTCAGTGTTCTCAGTTTTTAAAGTCTCTTTTTTATGTTTTGGCTCTCCCACTTCAACTTTTCTTTTTTTTTTTCTTCCTTCCCATGGTTTCTGTTGAGTTTCAGAGGGATCCACATACAAGAGTGAAACCCTATGGTATGTCTTCTTCGTATGGCGATTTCACTTAGCATCACACTCCCTCCAGCTCCATCCACGTTGCCAAAAGGCCATATTTCATTCTTTTCATTGCCAATGTAGTATTCCATTGTGTATATAAAACCACAATTTCTTTTATCCATTCATCAGTTGATGGACATTTAGGTTCTTCCATAATTTGGTTATTGTTGAGAGGCCAAGAACATTGGGGTAATATGCCCTGTGACAAAGGGCAAGCACCTGTATCCCTTAAATTCCTAGCAGCAGCTATTGCTGGGCTGGCAGGGTGGCCTATTTTTAATTCTTTTCTGAGGAACCTCCACACTGCTTTCCAGAGCGTGCTGCCGTATCAGTTTGCATTCCCCACCGTCGTAGCAGGCAAAGACCTCGCTTTCTCCACATCCTCTCCAGTATCTATAGTCTCCTGATTTGTTCATTTCACTGACTGAGTGAGGTGATTATCTGATGTGGTTTTGATTTGTATTTCCCCGATAAAGGCGAGCGATGTTGAACATCTTTCATGTGCCTGTTGGCCATCCGGATGTCTTCTTTAGAGAAGTGTTCATTCATGTTTTCTGCCCATTTCTTCACTGGGCTTGCTTTTTCGGGTGTGGAGTTTGGTGAGCTCTTTTTTATAGATTTTGATACTAGCCCTTTTGTCCCATATGTCATTTGCAAATATCTTTTCCCATTCCTGTTGGTTGCCTTTTTTTTTGTTTTGTTGTTGGTTGTTTCCTTTGTTGTGTATTTTATCTTCATAAGGTCCCTTTCCAGTAATTCACTTTTGCTTTTTAATTCCCTTGCCTTGGGGGTGTGTCGAGTAAGAGATTGCTATGTATATTTTCCTCTTTTCTCTACTTTCCTCTAAGGTTTTGATGGTTTCCTGTCTCACACATTCAGGTCCTTATCCTTTGAGTTTATTTTTGTGAATGGTGAGAAAGGGTCTACTTCAACCTTCTGCATGTTACATGTCCAGTTCTCCAGCACCATTTGCGAGTTAAAGAGACTGTCTTTTTCCATTGATGCCTCTTTCCCTGCTTTGTCAAAGATGAGTTGGCCATACGTTTGTGGGCTCCTAGTTTCTATTCTATTCCATTGGTCTATGTGTCTGTTTTTGTGCCACACACTACCATGCTGTCTGATGATGACAGCTTTGTAGTAGAGGCTGTCTGGGATTGTGATGCCTCCCTGCTTTTGGTCTTCTTCTTCAAAATTCCTTTCATTATTCGGGCCTTTTGGTTCCATATGAATTTTTAGATTGTTTCTTCAGTTTTGAGAAGAATGTTGGTAAATTTGATTGGGATTGCATTAATGTGTAGATAGTTTTGGGTAGTGTTGACATTTTGACAATATTTATTCTTCCTAACTACGAGCAGGGAATGTACCTTTTCCATTTCTTTTAAGTCTTCAATTACCACGCTTTCTATAGTTTTCAGCATACGGATCTTTTACATCTTATTAGATTTATTCCTTGTAGGTATTTATGCTTCTTGTGCAATTGTGAATGGGATCAAGCTTTTTAATTGTCTTTCTGTTGTTTCATTATTAGTGTATAAGAATGCAGATTTCTTGTACATTGATTTGTAATCCTGCACTTGTTGAATTCATGTATAAGTTCTAGCAGACTTGGTGGAGTCTATCGGATTTTCCATGTATAATATCATGTCATCTGCAAATATTTAAAGCTTGACTTCATCTTTGCCAATTTGATGCCTTGATTTCTTTTGTTATTGATTGTTGATGCTAGAACTTCCATAATCTATTAAACAACAGTGTGAGGAGTGGGCATCCTGTTTATTTTTGATCTCTTCAGAAAAGTTTCAAGCTTTTTCCCTCGTTGAGGATGATGTTAGCTGTGGGTTTTCATAAATGGCTTTTATGATCTTTAAGTATGTTCCTCCATTCCACTTTCAAGGGTTTTATTAAGAAAGGAAAAGGATTTTGTCTGGCCTTTTTCGCGCCGACTGGATCATATGGTTCTTTTGTTAATGATGTATCAATGCTGATTGATTTTAATGTTGAACCAGCCCCGTATCCGAATGAATCCTTAATTTGATCATGGTGGTGAAATAATTTTTATATACCATCACATACCCGATTTTGTTATCTTATTGAGAATTTTTTTAATCCATATTCATCAGGGATATTGGCCTGTAGTTTCTTTTTTTTACTGTCTCTGTCTGGTTTAGGGAATCAAAGTAATACTGGCTTTTCATAGAGTCTGGAAGTTTTCCTTCCCCTCTTTCTATTTCTTTTGAATAGCTTGAGAAGGATAAGTATTATCTCTGCTTTAAACGCCTGGTAGAACTCCCCTGGGAAGCCATCTGGTCCTGGACTCTTTATTTGTTGTGGGAGATTTTGATAACCCATTCAATTTCTTCTCGCTGGTTATGGTCTGTTCACATTTTCCTCCTGATTGAGTTTTGGAAAGTGTAGTGGGTGTTCAGAATTTGTCCATTTCTTCCAGGTTGTCCAATTTGTTGGCATATAATTTTTTCATAGTATTTCCCTGATATTTGTTTGTATCTCTGAGGGATTGGTTAATTTGTATTTTTCATTCATGATTTTATCTATTTGGTCATTCCCTTTTTTGAGTAGCCTGGCTAGAGGTTTAATTTTATTTATTTTTTTCAAACCAACTTTTGGTTGGTTGATCTGCTCTACAGTTATTTTTTTTAGATTCTATATTGTTTATTTCTCGTCATAGATCTTTATTATTTCTTCTCTTTCTGGGTTTAGCTGCCTTTGCTGTTCTGTTTATTTCCTTTAGGTGTGCTGTTGATTTTCCATTTGGGATTTGTCTTGTTTCTGAGATAGGCCTGGATTGCAATGTATTTTCCTCTCAGGACTGCCTTCTGCCATGTCTCCCAAAGCTGCTTGATTGTTGTATTTTCATTTTCATTTACTTCATATTTTTTAAATTTCTTCTCTACGTTCGGTTGACCCACTCATTCGTTAGTAGGGTGTTCTTTAACCTCCATACAATTGAGTTTTCCACTTTTTCCTGTGGTTGATTTCAAGCTTCATAGCACAGGTCTGAAAGCGCATGATATAATTTCACCTTGTAAACTTATGAAGGGGCTGTTTGTGACTCCAGTATATGATCTTATCTTGGAGAATGTTCCATGTGCACTCGAAAGTATATTCTGTTGCTTTGGGATGCAGTGAGAGTTCTCAAATACTCCGTCAAGTCCATCTGGATCCAAATGTCTCATTCAGGCCCTTTACTTTTTATTGACTGTGTGTCAGATGATCTATCTATCATTTCTGTGTAAGGGGGTGTTAGTCCCCGTACCACACATTCTGTCAACAAGGTTGCTTGGCTATGTTTCAGTGTTTTATATAGTTTGGGCGTCTGCCTCAAAGATACATTTATAATTTAATGAAAGGCCTTTCCCGATGGATACAGACCCTTTTACCATTATATAATGTCCTTTCTTCATCTCTTGTTACAGCCTTTACTTAAAAGTTCAGTTTGTCTGATATAAGCATAAGGACATACCCAGCTTTTACCTCCAGTGCAAAGCATGATAAATATTGCCTCCATCCCCCTCACTCACTTTCAATCTCCAAGGTGTGTCCCTTTGTGCCCAAATGAGTCTCTTGTAGACAGTAAAATAGGGTCTTGTTTTTTTATCCATTCTGATACCCTATGTCTTTTGGTTGGCGCATTTAATCCATTTACATTCAGTGTTATTATAGAAAGATATGGGTTTAGAGTCATTGTGATGTCTATAGGGTTTTCAAGGGCAAGCTTGTAGTGAGGTGTCTCTGTACTTGTCCTTCAGGATCCCCTTAGATCTCTTGGAGGGCTGGTTTAGTGGTGAAGAATTCCTTCCAGTTTGTTTGTTTGGGAAGACCTTTATCTCTCCTTCTATTCTAAATGACAAACTTGCTGGATAAAGGATTCTCGGCTGCATATTTTTCCTGTTTAGCACACTGAAAATATCGTGCCAATTCTTTCTAGACCATCTTTTTATGATAGTAAATTGACAAGAAAAAATCAAGAAATCTCATAGGCTTCATGTTGTGGATGACTAAAAATAAACTTCCAGAAATTAAAATAAACTGTTTTGCTCATTAAATCATTATAAATACAGTTAAAAATAATTTTCTGAATCTTTTTAATACAGGTAAGTAAGCAAGCAAAATAAGTAAATAAGAACTCACATGTTTTCTCTTCTTTTTTTTTCTTCCTCCCAATAGGACCAGACATATTATCAATCATTTCAGGTTTCAGAATATGGTAAGAGTTCTTCGGTTTATTTTGAAGGAAAAAAATACTTGTTACTTTTCACAGAGATAAGAGAAATTTCTAAGAGATATGTTATTTAAAGTAAAAATCCTAGTGAAAGTAAAATCCTGGCGTTTCTTACAGACCTAACGTATTTTTTTTCTTTTTTAAAAGATATAAAAGGTCGTTGTAAAGAAAAAAATGTAGGAAACAGATCACCTATAGTCTCATTATATGGTCTCTCTTATGCATAATTTTTCTTTTTTGTACTTGGTTGTGATCTTAACATATTTAAAGATTTGTAATTTTTAAAAACATAACATTAGTTATTTCCCATATTTTTCATTTGGTCAGCTTTGGTAAAGACAATCTGTTTAATTGGTAAATCTGTTTTGCCAATTGGGAAGACTGTTTAATTTGAGTAAATACTCTTCTTGCAGCTGTCATGTTTATATCACAGTCATGCACAGATAAAAACAGTGTGGCCCAACTATTTTGTTGGTGGTTGGAGGGGAAGGAAAGATGAGCATGAAAGTATAGGATCTCACTATGAGTTATAACTTGAACGGCTATTTTGAGGTTACACATGAGCTTTTTCATTTGATTTGTGTCACTTTTTGACATTGTGTCTCATTCAGGGAATAGAAATTCTGGAAAGTAGTTTGTTTACACTTTTGTGGCTCAGGCTCCACATATCTTATATAGCACTGTCACTTCCTAAGTCTCATGATCCCCTAGAACAGGGGTCAGCAAATTTTTTTTTCTAGAAAGGGCCAGATATTGGGGCACCTGAATGGCTCAGTTGGACAAGTGTCCGACTTCAACTCAGGTCGGAGCCTCACGGTACGTGAGTTCAAGCCCTGCATTGGGCTCTCTGCTGTCAGCGCACAGCCTACTTTGGATTCTCTGTCTCCCTCTCTCTCTGCCCCTCCCCTGCTAATGCTTTCTCTCTCAAAAATAAATAAAACTTAAAAAAAAAGAAGGGCCAAATAGTAATAGGTTTTGTGGGCCATAGGTCTCTGTCATAACTATTCAACTTTGCTATTGTAGCAGGAAGCAATCATAACAATATGTGAGTGAATGTGGCTGTGATCTAGAGAAATTTTATTTATAGACACAGAAATTAAAGTTTCCTATAATTTTCACGTCATAAAATATTTGTCTTTTGATTTTTTCCAACAAATTAAAAATGTAAAAACTATTCTTAGCTCATGCTGGTTACCATTTACTACCCCCTAATCTTTCACTTTGGGGGTCACTTACCACATGTAGCTACTGAGTGCTTGAAGTGTGGCTAGTCCAAGTGGAGATGTGCTCTAAGTGGATAAAGACCAAATTTTGAAGACTTAGTACAAAAAGAAGAAAGGAAAAGGGCTCATTAATAATAACTTTTTATATCGAGTACATGTTGAAATGATAATATTTTAGGCATGTGGCATTAAATAAAATGTTACAAAAATTAACTTCACCTGCTTCTTTTTACTTCTTAAATGTGGCTATTAGAAATTTAAAATTATACGTGGCTCACATTTTATTTCTTTTGAAGAGCCCTGACCTAAAAGAATAAATCAGAGGTGGCCAAGGTTTTTATAGGCTATTTTTTAACTTTATTTTTTATTTTTAAAAAATGTTTATTTATTTTGAGAGAGAGAGAGAGGAAGCAGGGGAAGGGCAGAGAAAGTTGGAAAGAGAGAATCCCAAGCAGGCTCTGCACTGTCAGCACAGAGCCCAACGTGGGGCTCAATCCCAAGAGCTGTGAGATCATGACCTAAGCCTGTATCAAAAGTCTGAGGCGTAAGTAACTGAGCTACCCAGGCGCCCCTAGGCTATTTTCATTTCACATAGAGGTGGTGCTGGGTGGTTATATGTTGTTGAATTGGATATGATAGAGGTGGGGAATTGATTGCCAACCTATGATGTTTGAGGAGGGGACATCAGAATTCTTTATTCTAAGGAAATTCCACTTCTGAGAGGATCGTGTGGCTCTTTTGGCTTTCCTGGCCTTTTTTGGCTTTCTTGACAGACTAAGGGCCTTTGGCCTGGTTTGGAGCTGGAGGTCTGATCTATATTGTTGATGCATTGATCTCCTTGATACTTTTCTTATATTAATTGAATGGTGGGATGCTTTGTAATGAGACTGATCTATTTCTTCTTCATAGCTAGTGAAGTTAGAGAAAAACATTTCTATTAGACTGGAAGGATACAAAATTTTTTTTACTCTGATGGTATGCTTTATATCAAATAGTGTTCGTATTTGTAAAATATCTCATATCTTGATTATATAAAGCTGACCAAAGTGGAGGTTTTTAGCTTTGGGATTGCCAAAAGGAATCACTGTCACACAAGAAGCATCGTTACTTTGTAGCTATATCTTAGTGATTAACTTAGAAATTCTACTACATAACTTTCTCTTCATAGCAATTCATTACATTAGACTGTCACAAGATTTGCCTTTGATTGCCTCAAAAAGTAAAGATTCTGCATGGCTGCATATGTAGCACACGTAGAGGGAGAGTCTTGGGGCCCCAAGATTTGCTTTTAGTAACCAAATTGGAGAATGGTCCTAGGGAAGGGGCTGCGGTAGAAGCACATGTGATGTGCAAGTATTTTAATACACCGTAAGGCAGCACTGATGGGTGATGGTTGAATGAATGCCTGGTCTCCCAGCATTCAGATGCCTTAGCATCTAGGGTTCTGGATACAATTTAGATTCTATTGATGAGAAGCTTCCACTGACACAAGCGTCCACACCAACTGGCCCCCACTGTCACTGTCCATCACCAGCCTTGTAAGGGTGAACTGCAGTGCTTTTCATCTGTGTTAATGTGTGTTTGGATTCTAAGGAATCTAGGTTCAAAGAGTACGGATTGTTGACTCCTTTAGAACTATTTAGTCTTTATTTTGTTAAGCTAAAAATGATAGTAAAATAGATTAAGATATTTATCCTTGCTTCTCTTTTCCAGTATTACCAAAATTTGAAGTTACTTTGCAGACACCATTATACTGTTCTTTGAATTCTAAGAGCTTAAATGGTACTGTCACAGCAAAGTAAGTATCATTTTTTTTTATGGATAATGCTGTTATAAAACTGTCTGACAGAGAGCTCATTATATACTCCACAGAGTGTTAGCACAATGTTCTGCTTATTAAAATACCCCAATGGGCAGGAAACAAATATCTGTATTAAATAATTAAGCATGGAACATGTCTGCACAGTTCTTTGCACCCATCTGTCTGCTTCCAAGCTGATCCAGTCCTAAAATATTTCCCATGAACAACTGTCTTTCTCAGACGAGTCAGGGGATCTATATTATAAATTGTTCCAGATTAAAAAAGAAAGTTGTATCTTCATTCTTAATTCAGCTGACATAGAGGATAGAGGCTACTTACCTCTTCTTTTAAAAAAAAATTTTTTTTTAGGGGTGCCTGGGTGGCGCAGTCGGTTAAGCGTCCGACTTCAGCCAGGTCACGATCTCGCGGTCCGTGAGTTCGAGCCCCGCGTCGGGCTCTGGGCTGATGGCTCAGAGCCTGGAGCCTGTTTCCGATTCT